AAGGGAGCTGCTCAGCCACAGCCTTTTCAAGAGGGACCACTCAGGAATGGACCGCTCAGGAAGAGCCACTCAGCCGCAGGAGCCACTCAGCCGCCTTCAGCACTACTAGCAAGAACTCATTTAAAATTAAGTCCTTTCTAAAATTTTCTCTTATACGATTATAGATATATTTTTTTCATTAATGTTAGTGTAAAATTTTTTTTAGATAAGTTTACAATAATTTAACACTAAACAAACACAGTGAATTATATGTTTTTCGTTACGTTCAGAATGATTTTGGCGAAATTATTGCATACACAAATTTTCGCTTGTCCTATATTGCAAGATGAGCGTTGCTATTTAAGCCAAGCTCGCAAATTCTGCCCCATTTCGCACGACATATTATATATATAAATATATATATATATATATAATATATATATATATATATATATTTTATATATATATATATAATATATAATTTTTATATATATTAATTTAGCATTACTTGCTTACCATTATAAACTATTATTAAAGAACAGATAACCAGTATAAGTTTATATCGTCAAACTTGTGCCATAATAAGAGTTAGTAATGTCCATCTACTATTTAATTACTTATTTTAATCTTCTAGTTATAAACTATTAAGTTTGTTTTCTTTATTTTCTCTTTTAACTACCATTACCTACAGACTATTAATTTTAATTATCACTTCCAGTACCCATCAATATTATTGTGTTCAGTATTAATACAACAGTTTAATATTAAATAATAAAATTGTACCATATTAAGAGCTAACAGTATCTCTTCAATTAAAAAAAAAACTACTTGAAACAATCCATTAGTTAGTAAGATAAATAAGTTTAGTTTTATAATATTAAGTTCAACATAATACTCTGTTCAAAAGTCTACTTGTAGAATCACACACAATCGTTTCATTACAAGCATTGAACAGCAACTGTAATTATTATACAACAGACCAAAGCAAAGATATTACTCAGAGCCAACAATAAGATAACTATCTTTAATTACAATGTCATATCTTTGAGCAAACATTACGATGACCTCACAGCATTACTCAGTTCCCTGCATACCAGTATGTCAATCATCACACTCACAGAAACTTGTCTATGCCATTCCAGGTTACACAGCCATACATAACTGTAGGACAAACCAGCAATGGGGTGGAACAGCTATATACTACTCAGATCAAGTTGAATGTATCATTCATTCTTGCACAATGGATGAACATGGACAATATATTATAGCTAAATTTAAATCAAAAGACCTGCAGTCAAACACTTAACATTTTAGTGAAAAATTAGGAAACATGATAACAGATGCACACATGAACAAAGATCACCTGCTGCTCACAGGAGATTTCAACATAAATCTCCTACATGACCAGGACCCACAAGTAACCGAATTCACACTCATTATGAGCAATTGCTTGTCGCTACCAAACAATAACAAAACCTATAAGACTCTCCGAGAATAGTATCTCCTTATTAGACCACATCTGGACTAACACAATATCCCCTTTAAAATGAGGCATAATCACAGACAACACCACAGACCACTACCTTACCTTTCTCATAACCAACCTAGGTAAATTGCCTCAAGGCGCTACTAAAGTTACCTTCAGACTACATAACGATACAGCAGTTAATAACTTTATAACAGCTATGAATAACGTTGACTGGTATAGTGAGCTTGAAACATATACAGATACTGATGAATGTATTAATAATTTTCTAAAAAAAAAAAGCCCCACTACCTCTGTAACAAGCACTGCCCTAAAAAAAACTAAACAGATCACAGCTAAAGACTAAATAGTCCCTGACTAACACCCAGCATCCTTAAATCCATTAACACAAAGCACCTATATGAAAAACAGTAAAGAATGGGTCAAATAACCAGAGACCATTCTAAACATTACTCGTCATTCCTTACCAGCCTGATAAGGTCAAAAAAATAACTGTATTATGAGAACAGATTATATAACATAAAAGGTGATATGAAAAAGACCTGGAAAACCCTATCTGAAATTCTAGGAATTAAAAATATATCCAAAAACAAAACAATCAAATTAACAAAATCAGACGAACCCCAACTCCCACCAACTGAAACGACAAACAGACTCAATGTTTTCTTCTCCACCATAGGAAAGAATCTAGCGAGCAAAATCCCAAGCTCAAACACCCGTCTATCAGACTACCTCACAGGCACCTACCCACATACACTATTCCTAGCTCCAACCAACCCAACACAAGTCTCGGTCATCATCAGCACCGTTAAAAAACAAGGCAAAAGACATTAATAACTTACCACCTTTTATGTGCAAAAATGCTTCACAAGTGCTGTCACCAATTACTGCAACACTCTTTAACAAATCCATCCAATCCTCCACCTTCCCAGCAGTTCTCAAAATAGTGATGGGTCACCCCGATCTACAAAGGAGGAGATCAAACAGACTTGAATAACTTTAGACCAATATCTAACCTACCTCTGCTCTCTAAAATCTTTGAAAAATTAATTCAGAGACAGATCTACTTCTACCTTGTCTCACACAACATACTAAACCCCTGTCATTTTGGATTCAGGAATAATAAAAGCACAAATGATGCTATTATACACATGATAGAACTAATATACACCACTCTCAAGAAGAAAGAAGTCCCACTGGGAATCTTCATTGATTTACGTAAAGCTTTTGATAAAGTCTACCATGATTTGCTGCACATTAAATTAACACACTATGGTATAGGAGGGTACTCCCCCAACTACATAAAGTCATACCTTAGTAAGAGAAGCCAATATGTGTACACAAATGGAGCTAAATCTTCCACTCTTACAGTTGGGGTTCCACAAGGAAGTGTCCTTGGACCACTCCTCTTTCTCATTTACATCAGTGACCTACTGAATGCATCACAACTACTCAAACCCATACTATTTGCAGATGACACAACATACGTCTTCTCTCATCCAAACTCAGTCATACTGGCCAACACTGTTAAGGCTGACAAAATACTGACAAAATTTTTTTCATTCAGTTTGGAAACAGAGCTGCAAATGTTCCACTTAACAAAATGCTAAACAGATCACCTATCACAAGACTCACAGAGGGAAAATTCCTAGGACTCCACCTTGACAGTAGCCTCAAATTCCAAACACATATACAACAAATTTGCAAGAAAATCTCTAAGACAGTAGGCATACTATCAAAGATACTGTACTATGTTCCACAATCAGCTCTCCTGGCACTGTGTCATTCATTCATCTACCCTTAACTCACATATGGAACTTGTGCATTGGGATCAACAACATTAAATCACCCAAGATCACTAATAACCTAGCCAAAGGCTGCAATCAGAATGATAACAAATTCCCACTCCAGACAGCATACTCCACCAATATTCAAAAGTCTAAAACTACTCACTGTAAAGAACATCCATACTTATTCATGTGCCTACTACATACATAGAACACTACACTCAAACATAAACCCTCCACTCAAACTTTTCCTTACCAACCTTAACAAGACGCACGACCATAACACAAGACACAGATCTCTTTTTGATGTACCCCGAGTCCATATCACACTGTGTAAGAACTCTATGCACATAAATGGTCCCAAAATTTGGAATTCATTACCAGTAAATACTAAAGTAACCCGGTCTGAACATCAATTTATTCAATACTTAACTTTACCAAAAAATCTCCCAATTACCTAAATCTAAACACTTCAAAATTAGATACCCAAAGTTCATACATTACTTAATACTACACTGTAGTATAAATACCTGCCCAAAACAATACTTCCTTACACCTAATTGTAGCATTCTCATACTGTAAACTATCAACAACGCTCAATGTTATATTCCCTTAATGTAATTTGAGTAAACTTACTGTCTGCTATAAATAGAAACAGATGTACAACTGAAAAAAATTATGATAAATTTCTCTAGTATTAAGTAGTCTATACGCCATTAAATTTAGTGTGTCCATTATGCCAGGGCATGATAGTGGCTCTTTGTACTGCAACTAATTATTGTAATTGCATAATCTCAATGTAAACTTGCAAGGAAATAAAAATTTGTATTTGTATAAGCACATGGCTTCCTCCGAAAGGAAGAGGACATGATGTTCCCGGGACATAACTCAGGTGTCCGATTTAGAAATGTGAGGCGCAGTTCTGGCGAAGCTGCGAGACCCCTCACTGGACTCATGGGACAGTGAGGCAAGTGAAACCAGCCTGACCAGTGAGATAACGATGGATGAAGAAATGCTCATCCCTACCACAGAAATACCATATGGCGATGGTTGGTAGGAAGTATGATCTTCAACGTTCAAGGGGAGGCATAGTGTTTCTTGCAGATCAGTCAAGCTAAACTATCCATAGGCAAAAAAATCAGTCATCAACAAAGGACACCATGACACCCCGGATGCTGCTATAATTCACCTGGAGAGAAAATACGGCCTGAAGATATCAGTGTCTCCAAACATGAAAGGAGAGCTTATTCTCACTTTCTGAAACAGTCCTATGAGGTACTGCAGAAGATGAATGACCTCGAATCACCACTCGTTCTCACAGGACTAAAACCCATAGAGAAGATGACAAAAGGCGTATTAATAGGCTATCCGCTAGACATGCCTTTCAATGCAATCCACAGTAACAAAAGCATCATGAAAGATGAACAGCTCGGAGCCAAGAAAGACGGCAACGTACCAACGAGGCAGCTCTTGATCCAACATACAGGACCTCTCCCAGCTCAACTGGATCTCGGTTGCTGGGGAAAATACCAGGTTAGGACGTACAACCCAGAACGTCTGAGGTGCTTCAGGTGCCACAGGTTCAACGACCTCAGCACCCGATGTCAGCTTAAGAAAATATGTGGCATCTGTAGTGGGTCTCACCCGACGAAGGGCTGCATGGGTAAACTGAAGGAAGGTGAAGCTATGGGCCTCAGTGTCTGAATTGCCGCAAGAAGCATCATGCCTGAAATTTGAAAAGACCGGAGATGCTCCGCTGTGTCAGGGCAGCATGGAAAACCCTGGTTGTCCAGCTTCCAGCATCAAATAAAGCCTTCACCACTGAGCAGCAACCTCGTCCAGAGGAGGCTACAGTAATCTGATATCCAGAGCTACTTCCCCGGCCACAGCGACATAGGAAGCTGAAGAAGCATAAATCGAAGCATAATGTCTTTCGGCTTTCTCCTCGCCTCACTCGTGACTTGACAATGGCCCAGGAAAAGCAGAAACTCCATCCCATGTGCTTCTCCTTAGTGATAGTTATTTGTAGTGTTGTAGTCATGATATTGTGACTTTTTATTGTTTACCGTGTGGACTCAGGGGGTTGTAAACACGTCTTCTTACCTCAGAAGGTGTGAAGATTTTTGTCTGATGTGTCTTTCACATGATTAGTCAGGCTGAAGAATGAGACACTTGTGAAACATTTGGCTTCTTCAGTCCAATACAGTGAAAAACTGTGAAAAATGAGGAGACTGAAATACAGTAAGTCCTCACTTAACGTCGTTTCGTTATAACGTTGATGAGAAAAAATATTGATTCCCTGCCTGGGCTGATGTCTGTGTGGAGTCTGCAGTTCCTTGTTGAACAGCCTGGTGGTAGGTGGCGCTCCTTGCAATTTTTGCTTTGCAAACATTTATTCCTCGATTTAGCTCTATTGCAATGAGTGTTGAAGGTGTACTGTGCACTCCTGATGTTTATATCAATTAGCTTATGGTAAAATTGCTTTCATTGTGTGTTGCTTCGCTTAAAGTTGTAATTTCCAAGAACCTATCGACGACGTTAAGTGAGGACTTACTCTAATCAGTCCCTCGGCCTGGAGTCGATGTGTTCAGTCCTTCAGTCTTGATAAAAGTACAGCATATATTTGGAGAAGTGACTTATATACTGCAGTCATGTGAGTAGAAGCAGGAGGAGGCGGAGTTACCACTGGACAAATCCACTGGTGCAAGTAGGTCATAACTGTAGGTTAGAAAAGTGTAGAAGAATTCCCTGTATCCAGATCCTAAGATGTTGCTGTGTCTGACACATGTGATGTAATCAGCTGCAGGATGAGGGACTGATTACCTCATTTTCCTCCTCATATTTCACTGTTTTTCTCTGCACTGGACTGAAGAAGCCGCTGGCTTTTTCAGTCCAATCCCTAGACCCGTGAATATCCTTAGACCCGTGAATATCCCTAGACCCGTGAATATCCCCTAGACACGTGTATATCCCTAGACCCATGAATATCCCTAGACCTGTGAATATCCCTAGACCCGGATAGTTGAACATCAGAGGAAGTGTGAAGTTATCAGTCCCTGAGCCTGGAGTCGATGTTGATGGAATGGTTACACTGACTCCTTTTGATCTTCAACTGCTGTTCTCCGTATTGGACTGGCGAAGCCACTGGCTGGCGAAGCGTTGCCACAATAATGATACCCAAGTGTTGCACATATGTGTAATTCATCAGGCTGTGTTCTCTGAGCCAGTTATGTGTCAGAATGTTGGTGGTGTGTTGCAGGATGGTCCACTACGGTCTACTGGCTGTCTACATATACGACGTCCTCCTGGAAACTGTCTCTACTGCTGACGACACTGACCGTCAGTCCTTCTGTCTCCAGGTGAGAGAGAGAGAGGAGAGAGAGAGAGAGAGGAGAGATAGGAGAGAGAGAGAGAGAGAGAGAGAGAGAGAGAGAGAGAGAGAGAGAGAGAGAGAGAGAGAGAGAGAGAGAGATAGAGCTGATGAATGAGCTAATGCACGTAACAGCTCTTAGCTTGTCAATAAAGTTAGGAATCCTTAACCTCTATATATATATAATATATATATAATATATATATAATATAATTATATATATATATATAAATATATATATATATAAATAAAAT